GATTTTTGCATCTGTGTTCATCAGTGATATTGGCCTGTAGTTTTTTTTGTGAAATCTTTTTCTCATTTTGGTACCAGGATGATGGTGGCCTCGTAGAATGAGTTTGGGAGTGTTCCTCCCTCTGCTATATATTTGGAAGAATTTGAGAAGGATAAGTGTTAGGTCTCCTGTAAATATTTGATAGAATTCGCCTGTGAAGCCATCTGGTCCTGGGCTTTTTTTTGGTTGGAAGACTTTTAATCACAGTTTCAATTTCAGTGCTTGTGATTGGTCGGTTCATAGTTTCTATTTCTTCCTAGTTCAGTCTCGGAAGGTTGTGCTTTTCTAAGAATTTGTCCATTTCTTCCAGGTTGTCCAGTTTAATGGCAAATAGTTTCTTGTAGTAACCTCTCATGATCCTCTGTATTTCTGCAGTGTCAGTTGTTTCTTCTCCTTTTCCATTTCTAATTCTGTTGATTTGAGTCTTCTTTTATTTCTTGATGAGTCTGGCTAATGGTTTATCAATTTTGTTTATCTTCTCAAAGAACCAGCTTTTAGTTTTATTGATCTTTGCTATCGTTTCCTTCATTTCTTTTTCATTTATTTCTAATCTGATCTTTATGATTTCTTTACTTCTGCTAACTTTTGGGGTTTTTTGCTCTCCTTTCTCTAATTGCTTTAGGTGTAAGGTTAGGTTGTTTATTTGTGATGTTTCATGTTTCTTGTTTCTTGAGGTAGGATTGTATTGCTATAAACTTCCCTCTTAGAACTGTTTTTGTTGCATCCCATAGGTTTTGGTTCATCATGTTTTCATTGTCCTTTGTCTAGGTATTTTTTGATTTCCTCTTTGATTTCTTCAGCAATCTCTTGGTTATTTAGTAGCCTATTGATTAGTCCCCATGTGTTTGCATTTTTTACAGTTTTTTTCCCTGTTATTGATATCTAGTCTTATAGCGTTTTTGTTGGAAAAGATACTTGATCCTATTTCAATTTTCTTAAATTTACCAAGGCTTGATTTGTGAGCCAAGATATGATCTATCATGGAGAACGTTTCATGGCACTTGATAAGAAAGTGTATTCTGTTGTTTTCGGATGGAATGTCCTATAAATATCAGTTAAGTCCATCTTGTTTTATGTATCATTTAACTCTTCTGTTTCCTTATTTATTTTCATTTTGGATGATCTGTCCATTGGTGAAAGTGGGGTATTTAAGTCCCCTACTATTATTGCATTACTGTCAATTTCCCCTTTTATGGCTGTTAGCCTTTGCCTTATGTATTCAGGGGTTCCTGAGGTGGGTGCATAAATATTTACAATTGTTTTATCTTCTTGGATTGGTCCCTTGATTACTATGTATTGTCCTTCTTTGTCTCTTGTAATAGTCTTTATTTTAAAGTCTATTTTGTCTGATATAAGAATTGCTACTCCAGCTTTCTTTTGATTTCCATGTGCATGGAATATCTTTTTCCATCCCTTCACTTTCAGTCTGTATGTGTCCCTAGGTCGGAAGTGGGTCTCTTGTAGGCAGCATATATATAGGTATTGTTTTTGTGTCCATTCAGCCAGTCTATGTCCTTTGGTTGGAGCATTTAATCCATTTACGTTCAGGGTAATTATCAATATGTACGTTCCTATTACCATTTTCTTAATTGTTTTGGGTTTGTTATTGTAGGTCTTTTCCTTCTCTTGTGTTTCCTGCCTAGAGAAGTTCCTTTAGCATTTGTTGTAAAGCTGGTTTGGTGGTGCTGAATTCTCTTAGCTTTTGCTTCTCTGTAAAGTTTTTAATTTCTCCGTCAAATCTGACTGAGATCCTTGCTCGGTAGAGTAATCTTCGTTGTAGGTTTTTCCCTTTCATCACTTTAAACATGTCCTGCCACTCCCTTCTGGCTTGCAGAGTTTCTGCTGAAAGGTCAGCTGTTAACCTTATGGGGATTCCCTTGTGTGTTACTTGTTGTTTTTCCCTTGCTGCTTTTAATATTTTTTCTTTGTATTTAATTTTCGATAGTTTGATTAATATGTGTCTTGGTTTGTTTCTCCTTGGCTTTATCCTGTATGGGACTCTCTGTGCTTCCTGGACATGATTGACTATTTCCTTTCCCATATTAGGGAAGTTTTCAACTATAATCTCTTCAAATATAGTCTCAATCCCTTTCTTTTTCTCTTCTTCTTCTGGGACTCGTATAATTCGAATGTTGGTGCGTTTAATGTCCCAGAGGTCTCAGAGACTGTCCTCAATTCTTTTCATTTTTTTTTTTTCTTTATTCTGCTCTGTGGTAGTTATTTCCACTATTTTACCTTCCAGGTCACTTATCTGTTCTTTTGCCTCAGTTATTCTGCTATAGATTCCTTCTAGAGAATTTTTAATTTCATTTTTTGTATTGTTCATCACTGTTTGTTTTCTCTTTTAGTTCTTCTAAGTCCTTGTTAAATGTTTCATCTATTTTCTCCCTTCTATTTCCAAGATTTTGGATCATCTTTACTATCATTATTCTGAATTCTTTTTCAGGTAGACTGTCTATTTCCTCTTCAGTTGTTTAATCTGGTGGGTTTTTACTTTGCTTCTTCATCTGCTGAATATTTCTTTGTCTTCTTATTATGTTTAACTTACTGTGTTTGGGGTCCTTTTCGCAGGCTGCAGGTTCATAGTTCCCATTGTTTTTGATGTCTGCCCCAGTGGGTGAGGTTTGTTCAGTGGCTAGTGTAGGCTTCCTGATGGAGGGAACTGGTGCCTGTGTCCTGGTGGGTGGGGCTGGATCTTGTCTTTCTGCGGGGCAGGACCTTGTCTGGTGGTGTGTTTTGGGGTAAACAAAACTCACAGAGTAAAACCTTAGTATGATCTTAGGCAGCTTCTCTGCTAATGTGTGGGGTTGTGTTCCTGTCTTGCTTGTTGATTGGCATGGGGCATCCAGCACTGAAGCTTGCTGGTCATTGAGTGGAGCTGGGTCTTAGCGTTAAGACAGAGATCTCTGGGAGAGCTCTCACCGATTGATATTACGTGGGGCCAGGGGCTCTCTGGTGGCACAATGTCCTGAACTCGGCTCTCCCACCTCATAGGCTCAGGCCTGACACCAGGCCAGAGCACCAAGACCCTGTCAGCCACAAAGCTCAGAAGAAAAGGGAGAAAAAGAGAAAGAAAAAATAATAATAAATTAAAAAAATAATAATAATAAAAAAAGAAGAGGGCAACCAAACCAATAAGCAAATCCACCAATGATAACAAGCGCTTAAAACTATACTAAGATACACATAGAAATCAGAAACAAATCAGCTGCAGACAGCAAACCCCAAGTCTACAGTTGCTCCCAATGTCCACTGCCTCAATTTTGGGATGATTTGTTGTCTATTCAGGTGTTCCAGAGATGCCGGGTACATCAAGTTGATTGTGGGGATTTAATCCACTGCTCCTGAGGCTGCTGGGAGAGATTTCCCTTTCTCTTCTTTGTTTGCACAGCTCCTGGGGGTCAGCTTTGGATTTGGACCCACCTCTGCATGTAGGTCACCTGAGGGCGTCTGTTCCCACACAGACAGGAGGGGGTAAAACAGCGGCTGATTAGGGGGCTCTGGCTCACTCAGGCCAGGGTCAGGAGGGGTACGGAATGTGGGGCAAGCCTGCAGCGGTACAGGCCAGTATAACTTTGCAAAAGCCTGAGGCGGGCTGTGTGTTATCCCGGGGAAGCTGTCCCTGGATCACGGGACTGGCGGTGGCGGGCTGCACAGGCTCCCAGGAGGGGAGCTGTGGATAGTGACCTGTGCTCGCACACAGGCTTCTTGGTGGCGGCAGCAGCAGCTTTAGCATTTCAAGCCCGTCTCTGGGGTCCGCGCTGATAGCCACAGCTCATGCCCATCTCTGGAGCTCATTTAGGCGGTGCTCTGAATCCCCTCCCCTCGCACACACTGAAACAATGGTCTCTTGCCTCTTTGGCAGGTCCAGACTTTTTCCCAGATGCCCTCCTGGCTAGCTGTGGCGCACTAGCCCCCTTTAGGCTGTGTTCACGCAGCCAACCCCAGTCCTCTCCCGGCGCTCCGACCAAAGCCCAAGCCTCATCTCCCAGCCCCCACCTGTCCCGGCGGGTGAGCAAACAAGCCTCTCAGGCTGGTGAGTGCTGGTCGGCACCGATCCTCTGTGCGGGAATCTCTCCGCTTTGCCCCCTGCACCCCCGTTGCCGTGCTGTCCTCCGTGGCTCCGAAGCTTCCCCGCCACCCACCTCCCGTCTCCACCAGTGAAGGCCTTCCTAGTGTGTGGAAATTTTTCCTCCTTCACAGCTGCCTCCCAGAGCAGCAGGTCCCGTCCCTATTCTTTTGTGTCTCTTTTTTCTTTTGCTCTTCCCAGGTACATGGGGATTTTCTTGCTTTTTGGGAAGTCTGAGGTCTTCTGCAGCATTCAGTAGGTGTTCTGCAGGAGTTGTTCCACAGGTAAATGTATTTCTAGTGTATTTGTGGGGAGGAAGGTGATCTCCTTGTTTTACTCCTCCACCATCTTGAAGGTCCCCCCAATAATGTGATTTTTACATCAACTGTATGGAGTTGCTCTTGTGACCTCTCCAGGATAAAAACCATCTGAATTCATGGCACTATCTTAAAATGGTTCAGGGTGTGGATTCTGGGATCTGCAGGTGCAAATCCCAGCATGGTCTTCAACAAACTATGTGATCTCACTCAAGTCATTTAGCTTCTTTATGCTTTAGTTTTGTTATTTATAAAACCAAGATAATAAATGACTCTACTTCATAGAGTTATTGGGAGGTTTGAGTGAGTTGCTAGCATTTAGAACAATGCCTGCTCTGTGGTAGTGCTATGTAAGTACTAACTATCTTTATATTTTTCTGAGATGAACAAATATGAAAGTTCAAGCAGCATTATGCGTAGGTCTAACGTTTTTAAAGAAATCTAAACATCATCTGCTCTATCCATCATGGAAAATCCTGCTGGGAATTATTACAGCATATTTCTAGTTGATATCATTTCCACAGTGCGATATAATAAACAATAATTGACTTTAGTATCTTGCAATGGAAACATACTTGGTTGGCTGGGAAACCAGGGCATCTTTATGAAGTTGATAACAAGGATACACATTGAAGGTACCAGGCTCCATAGAAACCCCTTCCACCGATGAAAATTCCTTTTCAACCAAACCAAACATTTCCATCATCTTAAATCCTTTAAAAAAAATAAAAGAAAGAAAGAAAAAGAAAAAAAACAGGGATAGAGAAAAAGAATAAACAGGCACTTTAGGATTTTAAATTTCAAAATTAGTCTGTTAAGGATGAAAAAATCTGGACCCCAAATGGGAGTTATTTAATATATTTGTATTTGGGAAATTGTGAAATTGCATACCTGCAAGATCAATGTCATCCTTATGCACCAGTGGGCAGGCTGGAAGACAAAACAAACAAGATAAAACCCTAATTTAGATATTTTCCAAACATATTCTTTCCTTGTCCTGAGAACAGGAAGCTAACAATCTTTACGGAAGTCAGTTGTGGAGGGAATCCAAACCACATGTGGCTACAGCTTTCTGTGGATTCCTAAAGATTGAAACACTCTCACTTCTTCTTTTAAAACCAAAGGGTCCCAACTTCCTTCTCCTCTCCTGGGTCCATTAAAATCGATGGTGGTCACTTGATAGCATGTCTTGGGAGAAGTCCCACTTCTAATGTGTTACACTGATGAGCAGACTTAACACATTTTTGAAAACTATGTGCTATAGCTGTTTAAGAGAGCTGCTTTTAAATACAGACCCTTGTCTTTTTAGGGAAAGTCTTTATCAACCTAAAACCCTGAACCAGGGAGAGGTGAGGTTTACTTCCCATATGCTCAAAACCACAAAACTTAATGTCTGCATAACAAATAGCTCTCCAAGTCAATTTTCTCTCTTCAGATCAGGATGGCACTCATTATTTAACTGGTATAAATATCTCAGCATTTAAGCAATGTAAGTGCAAATTCCAAAGAACTAACTTGCTGACGCGGTTTCACAGACAAAAGTAATCAACTCATCTTCAATTTTCTTAAAGGCGTCAAAGTCATCCACAAAGAAGACATGCCGGGCGCTGGGCTTACTGCCAATGCTAAGCAACTCTGAGTAATCTGCATCAGCCACGCCGACTGCAAAAATGCTGTAGCCTGTGGTAAAAGGGGAACAGATTTCTGATGACTTTAAATCACAGCAAAAGCAAATAATGCAATATAAGACATGTCCAAATGTTTAAAACATGTTTATTTAGGAGGGCCAGTGGGGGTGGATAATTCACTCTTTACAGTTCTTCAGAATTCTGCATGCACATAATTCACTCTATGATTATTAACCCATCATCCCCTAAAGAAAGTTTCCACTTTATTTTTATTTATTTATTTTTTTCACGGTATGCGGGCCTCTCACTGTTGTGGCCTCTCCCGTTGCGGAGCACAGGCTCCGGACGCGCAGGCTCAGCGGCCATGGCTCACGGGCCCAGCCACTCTGTGGCATGTGGGATCTTCCCGAACCGGGGCACGAACCCGTGTCCCCTGCATTGGCAGGCGGACTCTCAACCACTGCATCACCAGGGAAGCCCCGAAAGTTTCCACTTTAAAGAAGCTTAAGAGAGTCAGTGTTTGAGACAAAATAGTTACCATTTGAGTAACATCTTTATTTTTGCATATTTTTAATAATGATTTTAGTATTTATGGGAAAAAGTGCAATTGAAACAAAAAAAGTTTTTTTTTTTGTTTGTTTTGTTCTGTTTCATTTTCAGAAGTAGAAACTGAGATATTACAGGCTTAGAAGCCTGAGGTGGGTCACAGTTCAATGCTTGCCAAATACACATTAAGCTAGTCTTTGCTCATACAGATTTTATAGAATGTAATCTTCACATTCTGTGTTCTCCATTTTACAAATGAGGAGGCTGAGGCTGAGGAGTTTCTGTGATCAGTTTCCCTCCCCTGGTCCTTTTCATAGTATTGCACTTAATTTTCTTTTCTTTTCCTTGTTTTTCTTTTTGACCACACAGCATGACAAGGATCGAACCTGTGCCCCCTGCAGTGGAAGCATGGAATCTTAACCAAATGGATTGCCAGGGAAGTCCTATAGTGCACTTAATTGATGGAGTTGCTTATATAGGGCATCCTGTATGTAACAAAAGTACTGGAGAAAAGACAGCAAAATCATAGATTTGTAACCTGGAAACTTTTAAAAATCACATTGTCCAGTTAATATTAAGAAAGATTTAGAAACATTTAAGTCATGTTGATGTAGCCTATAAATGTGTATTCAGAAAACAAGGCTAATGGTATTATTGGTAGCCACTATTGCTTATCTATGTAAAACTTACCATCTGATTGCATCTCCCTGGAGATTTTGCTCACATCATCTTGTGATCTTCCATCAGTTATAACCACGATGACCTTCGGGATGCCTCTTCTGGTCCCTGACTCTGCAGTAAACAAGGTATCTCGGACATGCTTAATTGCTTTTCCTGAAACAAAGGAAGGCAACAATTCAATTTCATTCCCTTCCTTGCTAGAGATGGAAGAGTGGGAACGAAGTTCTTAAGTCAATGAAAAACCTTTTTTTAAAAAAAAATCTATATTACTATGCTTCAAAAAGAAGTCATTTCAGTAATTAGTAATATTATTTTGGGTCTTAGCTGGGCTTCTTGTGGTCTTACCTGTTTTTGTATTTCCTCCTTTGTATGAGATATGTTTAATTGCATCAAGAACAGTCTCTTTGGTTTTGTAAGAGTTAAGTTTAAATTCTGTCCTGGGGTCATCAGTGAACTGAACCATTGCAACCTAGAGAGAGAAGGTGTGTTCATTTTTATGTATATTGTAGACTTCCTCTCTGCCAGAGAGCACACACTATAGCATGATTACACCTACAGTTTTTTTTAAATTAATTAATTAATTTATATTTTTAATTTTTGGCTGTGTTAGTTTTTTGTTGCTGCATGCAGGCTTTCTCTAGTTGCAGTGAGCGGGGGCTACTCTTTGTTATGGTGTGTGGGCTTCTCACTGCAGTGGCTTCTCTTGTTGCAGAGCACGGGCTCTAGGAACGCGGGCTTCAGTTGTTGTGGCTCGAGGGCTCTAGAGCGCAGGCTCAGTAGTTGTGGCACACGGGCTTAGTTGCTCTGTGGTACGTGGGATCTTCCCAGACTAGGGCTCAAACCCGTGTCCCCTGCATTGGCAGGCGGATTCTTAACCACTGCACCACCAGGAAGTCCTACAACTACAGTTTTAATTTCTTTTTTAACCCAGTCCACAATTTCCTTGGTTTAAACCATACAAATTACATACCAAATCTGACGACGTCTTAACAAAGTACTTTTCAGGAAGCAGTTTATTTTAAAAATCTCTCCCTAAAGCATGAAGACCTTTCGCCATCTCATTTGACAGATGGGAAAATGGCAGCCTAGATCTTCTAACTTGACAAAGTTCAGAGAAAGAATTGAAGTTGGACTCTTTACAAGGATTTCTTTATGAAACAAACCTATGAAATAATTACTACTATTCTACCATTTCACAGATCAGGAAACTGAGGGACAGAAAGCCAAGTAATGTACCCAAGATTACTAGAGTAGCCACTGGCAGAACCAACAGCTGAAGCCAGGTAATTCTACTTTAAATCTGTGTTCTGAATCACTGCAGTATAAACCATCCTGGCTTCATTTCCTACAATTTGCTTCTATTCCTGTGCAACTTTGGGGACATTTTAAATTTATTATATTTTTTGTTTGTTTTTCAGAATTATGAAAGGGCTTCTTTTTGGCTTTGTGAGCCTTCAATTTCTACCAGCGTATCAAGGTCTACTGCAAATGTCATCATCTTTAGGAAACCTCTATTCAAAACAAATTTCTCCCTCCCTGAAATGCCTGAGCATTTTATCTATTCTTCTCTTCTGGTTCCCCTTAACCCAAGTTTTCTCGGCCATTCTTCCGAGACATATTTTCAGTCTGTTCACTTTAGTGCATCTCATTGCTACCACCCTAGCCCAGGCCTCCATCATCTCTGTGTTGGACCATGAGAGCGGCATCCCAGGTGGTCTCTCCACTTCCACTCTCACCTTTATTAGTACTCACACTCCACGAAGCAGTCAGAATGATCTTTTGTAAAAAGCATATCAGATCCTCTCTCCTTAAAACTTCCCAGTGGCTTCCCATTGTACTTAGGATGATACCCAACTTCCTCAGTGGGTCATAAGACTCAAGGTGATCTCGCTCTGTCTACTTCCTCCACCTCCTCTTCTCCCCCCAGCCCCCCACATGCTCATCCATTATATTCCAGCCCCAAGTGTTAGCACCTGAAGCCTCAAAACTCATTCTCGACTTAGGCCCTCTGCACTTACTACTTTCCCTGTCTGGAAGTCCTACTTTCAAATCTTCTCAGCATCATTCACATCTCAGTTCAGAAGCCACCTCCTCAAAGAAGACTCTGTGGATCACGCAGTTTAAAGTAAACTTTGGTAAATTTAAATCTCAGTTCGAAAGCTCGCATCCCTACGTTGTGAATTTATTTGTTTGCCAATTTGTATCTGTCTCTCATCCTCCTCCTCTCCCTACCTTTAAAGAATATGAGCGGGCTTCCCTGCTGGCACAATGGTTAAGAATCCGCCTGCCAGTGCAGGAGACGTGGGTTCGATCCCTGGTCCGGGAAGATCCCACATGACACGGGGCAACTAAGCCCGTGCGCCACAACTACTGAGCCTGCGCTCTAGAGCCCGCGAGCCACAACTACTGAGCCCCCGTGCCTCAACTACTGAAGCCCGCACACCTAGAGCCAGTACTCCACAAGAGAAGCCACTGCAATGAGAAGCCCGCACACCACAACAAAGAGTAGCCCCCGCTTGACGCAACTAGAGAAAGCCCGCGCACAGCAACCAACACCCAACTCCGCCAAAAATAAATAAATAAATAAATAAATAAATAAATAAATAAATAAAACATACTACCGTCTTGAGATTTAAAAAAAAAAAAAGAATATGAGCAACATGAAATTAGGGACATGTCTGTCATATCCATTATGACAGTACTGTACCTGACCAAAATAAGTTCTCAATAAATATTTGTTGAATGAATAAATTAGTTTTCTATGTTCTACTTGTTCTGTAGTAATTTGTGACGATGACCTCTCTCTTTCAAGATTTTAACATCCTCGAGGGCAAAGAAAATATTGTCGTTCCTTTAGAGAGATGCTCTATCCTAAGTATATAGAAGACACATCTGCTGACATGGTCATTCTAACCTGTCTTAGCTTGCTGAACTCAAGCGCTTTTAACAATTAGCATCTTCTCAAGCTCTGTCACACACCAGTAAGCTGCTTCTAAACTCAGACTTGTCTATACTCTCATTTAGGGTTGGATCCAATCAGGATAGTTCTTTACCCATATTCCCTGACAAGTAGCCATAATAAGAGCTTGGAATAATTTTTTCATGCATAGAATGAATTAATGATTGATCTATCAGCCTTACTTGAGTTCCATCTGCACCTATCTTGTCCAGAGCTCCAACAGTGCTATACAGGAAGTTAATGATCTTATTGAAATTTTCATCACCAATACTCCAGGATCCATCCACCATGAACACCAGGTCGGCTTTGGCAGCTTTACATACTGGAGACCAAGAATTAATTTTGAATCAGGGAAAAAGGGAAAACACAGTAGTTATGACACCAACAAAGCAGATAATGGTTTCCCTCTGGTAGCTACAGCCCAAAGGAAAGATATACATCTTCCTCCAACCTCTTGCTCATGACCATCATGGCTCTCCTACACCCAAGTTTCCTAGCCATGACAAAGAAGCTTCAATCAAATGTGTGGAATTAAAGAGAAAAAAATCTACCAATCTCAGCCCCAAAGAACAGAAATGGGAAGAATGAAAAATGTAGAACTAAAGTGATTTAGAGACAGAAGCATCACCAAACACTCTAGTGCCTACTGATTACAAGGAAATCCAAGTTACCACTCTGTGCACCCTGCCCTCTGCTTATTGAATTAACAATGTGAGACAGATTCAGCTTCCAGGAGGAACGCATACCACACAATGAAAACAGATTAATCTAAAACTTGATATGCATTCGGACTGAGGCCATAAGCAAACTTTAATTCAAGCCTTGCTCAGAAATCCTGTCTATGCCCTTCTGACACCCAGTGATGCATATCAAGAAATGCACATTATGCGAGCTCAGGGCAACTTTTATCAGTAGGTAATACTGATATCAATGTCGAAAAGCAGGCAAGAATGACATTAACAAAAACCTATTCCACTGAAAGCATTTTTTAATAGTCTTGTATCATGTGCTGTTTCAGATTATCTATGCCTCTCTTCCCCTTCATTAGTGTAGACCACAGTGGATAACTCTGTTTTTATGATGAAACAAACAATTTAGTCTTTAATAATCTGAATCTTATCTTAGGCCATTTGCACACAAATATTCTGTGAGCTAATGTACCTTTCACCTTTCTTTAGAAAAAAAAATTTACTTGACTTTTATTTTATTAAGTGGAACTTTATTCCCTTAAAGCTATTTACAATGTAAAATAAATCATCTCTGAGTTAGTACTTGAGGGACAATAAGGATTTGGTGAGGTTGTTCTCATGAGTTCCACGATGTATAAAATTTTACATATTTACGGTTTGAATTTAAAGCTGAAGGGGACCACAAGATCTATAATTATAGCTTACAAAAGAAAACCTGGTGTTCTGTTTACAAGGAAAGACAAAATCTAGATTAGGTTTTACCTTCAAAGTGAGAGCAAAATCTATTTGAAAATATACTAAAATTGAAAAGCTTACTTAATACAACGAAGAACAAAAAAAAAAATATATCAAAATACTGGAAGGAATTACCCCAGGAATATGAAATTGTGTTTTTAATTTTCTTCTTTGTACTCTTTTCTGTTTCTTTTTTTCTTAAACATCTTTATTGGAGTATAATTGCTTTACAGTGAGTGGTGTGTTAGTTTCTGCTTTATAACAAAGTGAATGAGCTATACATATGAATATATCCCCATATCTCCTCCCCATTGCATCTGCCTCCCACCCTCCCTAACCCACCCCTCTAGGTGGTCACAAAGCACCTAGCTGATCTCCCTGTGCTAATCAGGTGCTTCCCACTAGCTATCTATTTTACATTTGGTAGTGTATATAAGTCCGTGCCACTCTCACTTCATATCAGCTTACCCTTCCCCCCGCCACCCCCCCCAACCCCGTGTCCTCAAGTCCATTCTCTACATCTGCATCTTTATTCCTGTCTTGGGCATAGGTTCTTCAGAACCATTTTTCTTTTTTTAGATTCTACATATGTGTTAGCATACTATATTTATTTTTCTCTTTCTGACTTACTTCACTCTGTATGACAGGCTCTAGGTTCATCCACCTCACTAAAAATAACTCAATTTCATTTCTTCTTAAGGCTGAGAAATATTCCACTGTATATATGTGCCACATCTTCTTTATCCATTCATCTGTTGATGGACACTTAGGTTGCTTCCATAAATAGAGCTGCAAAGAACATTGTCGTACATGACGATTTTTGAATTATGGTTTTCTCAGGATATATGCCCAGTAGTGGAAATGCTGGGTTGTATGGTAGTTCTATTTTTAGTTTTTTAAGGAATCTCCATACTGTTCTCCATAGTGGCTGTATCAATTTACATTCCCACCAACAGTGCAAGAGGGTTCCCTTTTCTCCACACCCTCTCCACCATTTATTGTTTGTAGATTTTTTGATGATGGCCATTCTGACTGGTGTCAGCTGATACCGCATTGTAGTTTTGATTTGCATTTCTCTAATGATTATTGATGTTGAGGATCCTTTCATGTGTTTGTTGGCAATCTGTATATCTTCTTTGGAGGAATGTCTATTTAGGTCTTCTGCCCATTTTTTGATTGGGTTGTTTGTTTTTTTGATATTGAGCTGCATGAGCTGCTTGTAAATTTTGGAGACTAATCCTTGGTCTGATGATTCATTTGCAAATATTTTCTCCCATTCTGAGGGTTGTCTTTTCATCCTTTTTATGGTTTCCTTTGCTGTGCAAAAGCTCTTAAGTTTCATTAGGTCCCATTTGTTTCTTTTTGTTTTTATTTCCATTTCTTTAGGAGGTGGGTCAAAAAGGATCTTGCTGTAATTTACATCATAGAGTGTTCTGCCTATGTTTTCCTCTAAGAGTTTTATAGTGTTTGGCCTTATATTTAGGTCTTTAATCCACTGTGAGTTTATTTTTGTGTATGGTGTTAGGGAGGCTTCTAACTTCATTGTTTTACATGTAGGTGTCCAGTTTTCTGAGCACCACTTACTGAAGAGGCTGTCTTTTCTCCATTGTATATTCTTGCCTCCTTTATCAAAAATAAGGTGACCATATGTGCATGGGTTTATCTCTGGCCTTTCTATCCTGTTCCATTGATCTATATTTCTGTTTTTGGCCAGTCCCATACTGTCTTGATTACTGTAGCTTTGTAGTAGAGTCTGAACACTGGGAGCCTGATTCCTCCAGCTCTGTTTTTCTTTCTCAAGATCGCTTTGGCTATTCGGCATCTTTTGTGTTTGCATACAAATTGTGAAATTTTTTGTTCTAGTTCTGTGAAAAATGCCACTGGTAGTTTGGTAGGTATTGAATGCAATCTGTAGATTGCTTTGGGTAGTAGAGTCATTTTTACAATGTTGATTCTTCCAGTCCAAGAACATAGTATATCTCTCTATCCGTTTGTACCATCTTTAATTTCTTTCATCAGTGTCTTACAGTTTTCTACATACAGGTTTTTGTCTCCTTAGGTAGGTTTATTCCTAGGTATTTTATTCTTTTTGTTGCAGTGGTAAATGGGAGTGTTTCCTTAATTTCTCTTTCAGATTTTTCATCATTAGTGTATAGGAATGCCAGAGATTTCTGTGCATTAATTTTGTATCCTGCTACTTTACCAAATTCATTGATTAGCTCTAGTAGTTTTCTGGTGGCATCTTTAGGATTCTCTATGTATAGTATCATGTCATCTGCAAACAGTGACAGCTTTACTTCTTCTTTTCCAATTTGGATTCCTCTTATTTCCTTTTCTTCTCTGATGGCCGTGGCTAAAACTTCCAAAAATATGTTGAAAAATAGTGGTGAGAGTGGACAACCTTGTCTTGCTCCTGATCTTAGAGGAAATGGTTTCAGTTTTTCACCGCTGAGGACGATGTTGGCTGTGGGTTTGTCATATATGGCCTTTATTATGTTGAGGTAAGCTCCCTCTATGCCTACTTTCTGGAGGGTTTTTATCATAAATGGGTGTTGAATTTTCTCGAAAGCTTTTTCTGCATCTACTGAGATGATCATATGGTTTCTCTCCTTTAATTTGTTAATATGGTTTATCACATTGATTGATTTCCTTATATTAAAGAATTCCTGCATTCCTGGGATAAACCCCACGTGATCATGGTGTATGTGCTGTTGGATTCTGTTTGTTAGTATTTTGCTGAGGATTTTTGCAGCTATGTTCATCAGTGATATTGGCCTGTACTTTTCTTTCTTTGTGACATCTTTGTCTGGTTTTGGCATCAGGGTGATGGTGGCCTCGTAGAATGAGTTTGGGAGTGTTCCTCCCTCTGCTGTATTTTGGAAGAGTTTGGGAAGGATAGGTGTTAGCTCTTCTCTAAATGTTTGACAGAATTCGCCTGTGAAGCCATCTGGTCCTGGGCTTTTGTTTGTTGGAAGATTTTTAATCACAGTTTCAATTACAGTGCTTGTGATTGGTCTGTTTATATTTTCTATTTCTTCCTGGTTCAGTCTCAGAAGGTTGTTCTTTTCTGAGAACTTTCCATTTCTTCCAGGTTGTCCATTTTATCGGCATAGAGTTGCTTGTAGTAATCTCTCATGATCCTTTGTATTTCTGCCGTGTCAGCTGTTACTTCTCCTTTTTCATTTCTGATTCTCTTGATTTGAGTCTTCTCCCTGTTTTTCTTGGTGAGTCTGGCTAATGGTTTATCAATTTTGTTTATCTTCTCAAAGAACCAGCTTTTAGTTTTATTGATCTTTGCTATTGTTTCCTTCATTTCTTTTTCATTTATTTCTGATCTGATCTTTATGATTTTTTTCCTTCTGCTAACTTTGGGGTTTTTTTCTTCTTTCTCTAATTGCTTTAGGTGTAAGGTTAGGTTGTTTATTTGAGATGTTTCCTGTTTCCTGAGGTAGGATTGTATTGCTGTAAACTTACCTCAGATCTGTTTTGCTGCATCCCATAGGTTTTGGGGTGTAGTGATTTCATTGTCATTTGTTTCTAGGTAGTTTTTGATTTCCTGTTTGATTTCTCCAGTGATCTCTTGTTTATTCAGTAGTGTATTGTTTATCCTCCATGTGTTTGTATTTTTAACAGATTATTTTCCTGTAATTGATATCTAGTCTCACAGCATTGTGGTCAGAAAAGATACTTGATATGATTTCAATTTTCTTAAATTTACCAAGGCTTGATTTGTGACCCAAGATATGATCTATCATGGAGAATATTCCATGAGCACTGAGAAGAAAGGGTACTCTTTTGTTCTGGGATGGAATGTGAGAATGGAATATCCTATAAATATCAGTTAAGTCCATCTTGTTTTATGTATCATTTAATGCTTCTGTTTCTTTATTTTCATTTT